AGCAAACATCCTCTAGAAAGGGAAGCGCTGCCTGCCCTCGAAGCAGTGTGGGTGCCTGTCCCTACCCACCGTCCCCAATTCCCCATTTTCTGTCTAGGTTAAATAATCAGGGTAAGCTGCAAGGGGGAAGAGAGGTCGACTTAAAAGAGGTGGCCAGACTGTGGAGGGGTTGACGATCAGGGGCCCCCCAGGCTCTGAGGTGAGCACCAGGCAGCGTGACATTTTGCTGTCTGCAGCAAGGATGAGGTTGAGGGTCTCCCCACTGACGCTGGTAGGGGGCTTCTGCAGCCTTATTCTGTAGCCAGGAGGCCTACTGAGTCTGTGGAGCTTGGCCTATCCTTCCCCACTTCTACATGTTTTGGGGGGTCTACGTAGGGGGCGACTCTGCAGGGCCGCTGAGCTATCTGTGCACCCCTGCAACCCAGCCTCCCAGCCCCCAGCTCCTGGGATGGGGACCCGGCCCTGTGACTGAGGGGCCTCAGAGGATTCTGGGCTTGGTGAGGACTGTGAACCCCTGGAGTAGAACAGGTCCCTGCCCTCTGGGTGTCTTCCCCAGTCCCCAGTGGCCCTTTTCCCCGCCCACCTCTGGTCCTGAAAGCTCAGAGCCCCTGCCCCAGTCCTGATTTTACCAGCTTCTGCTGCCTGCAGACCCAGCCCATGTGGGCCACAAGCCTGCCTTTGTCAACTCACCCGCACTGGGGGCTGTGCCAGGAGGGGCTGACGGCATTCTGCCTGCAGCTGGGACAAACCCGGGAGAGGCCTGGGCCCCCCCAGAGAGATGGAGCTGGCATGAATGCAGCATCCTGCACTGTCACCAATTGACTGGGGTGATGGGCAGGCCATGGGAAGACAGCTGCTCGTGTGAGAGGCATCATTCATTCATTCACTCAGTCAGTGGATGCTTACTGAGCCCCTGCTTTGTCAGGCCCTGGGCTGGGGACTTGTGCTGAGAGACATGACTCTTGCCCTTTTAGGGAAAAACAAAAGCTAGAAGCAAATGTCCCACATCAGAATCACTGGGGGGCCCCATTCCGAGTTTCTGGTTTAGTAGGTCTGGATTGGGACTGCGAATTTCTAACAAATGCCCCAGTGATGCTCATGCTGCTGGTCCAGGGACCGGACTTTGAGAGTCTCTGAGATTCAGGACCAGATAGAGGAATTATGCATGATTTTATGTTTTTTCAAAACTCTCTCGCTGATCATGTTTTACTTTTATAAATAGAAAAATCAGTTATTAATATCTAAAAGTTAAAAAAAAAGTGATCCCCCCAAATGATTCCGGTGTTCTGGGTGTAATCCTTTGTGGAGCAGTGTCACCTCCCATGATCTAAATGTCCTGCATCTGTTCGTGCAGCCCAGCCCGAGGAGCTTTTGTGTCCCTGTACTTCCCCTTGGCTCATCTTGAGCTTGGGGTCCACTCAGACCCTCACATCCTCCCCATCACCTGATCCTGTCAGTGTAAGTGCAGAGAGATTAAGTGAGGGGTAGTAAATAGCATGGCTGGGATTTGAACACAGGCCCACCTGGAGGCTGGCTTGGTTTTAGCTGGCAGGCTCCCACTTCTGAGTGCTATTTCCTTCACGCAGAGACCCCTCACTTCCTCATTTCTCTAACTGGTGTGACCATTGACTGTCCTGCTTCCTCCTTTTCCACTCTGGTGCAGTCCACTCGGCTGGTGGCGGGGCGATGAGTCTGTGTGTACATTGGGACAGAGGTGGGGGTGGGGTCTGGCGAGGTGCCTTTTCCTCCAAGCTGCCAGGCAGGAACAGTGCTTTGGGGGTGCTGCTGCGACACAGCGGGAGACAGGCAGTGGTGGCAAGTGGGGAGTAGAGCCTTTGGCTGACGGTGGGAGTGGGATCGCATCTGTGGGGGTTGGGAGCAGCATATTCTTGTCATCTCTGTCTCCCTGTCTTGAGTTAGAACCAGCTGAGAATTAGGCCCTGGAGTCAAAGAGGCTGGGGTGAAAGCCTCGGTCAGCTTTCCCAGTGCCAAGACTGGCCAGGAGGGCGCCACTCCCAGCGCTGCCCTGTGCTAAATGTACTCAGTCTCCCCACAGGGAGCAGCCCTACCCAGCTGACCACCTGGGACCACTGCCTGCCTTTGCTTGTGGGCAGGTGGGCGTGAAGAGAGAGACTTCCGTGTGTTCCTTTCCCAGACTCCAGTCAGCCCTGTCCCCCGCCCAGCCCCAACCCCAGGGGAGGTGGGTGAGGGGTGCTAGAGGCGCCCCCAGAGGGGCAGAGTGGACGCTCCCTCATGGTGGAAGCATGGGGAGGGGGGAAGAGAAGACAGAACCCCCCTTGCCCAGTCCCTTCATGCCTGTTTCCTTTGGGGAAGGGGAGGCTCAGAGGGTGGAGGTCCAGCTCTATGGGTGTGGCCCCCTCCGCAGCCTGCAGAGTGGTCTGTCGTTCCTCCGACCCACCTCCTTGCTCCCCGAGTGCTGCTATCCTTGGGTGCCTTTTCTGGCTCCTCGGGGACACCTTTGTCAAGTCATTTATCCCTGGTGACTCAGTTCCTCTTTTGAGACTACCATCTTATTTAAACCATTTGGAGACGAACGCGGTGGCTTACGCCTATAATCCTAGCAGTTTGGGAGGCTTAGGTGGGAGGGTCGCTGGAGGTCAGGAGTTGAAAACCAGCCTGAGCAAGAGCAACACCCCATCTCTACTAAAAATAGAAAGAAATTAATTGGCCAACTAATATATATAGAAAAAATTAGCCGGGCATGGTGGCGCATGCCTATAGTCCCAGCTACTCAGAAGGCTGAGGCAGGAGGATTGCTTGAGTCCAGGAGTTTGAGGTTGCTGTGAGCTAGGCTGACGCCACGGCACTCACTATAGCCTGGGCAACAAAGCGAGACTCTGTCTCAAAAAAAAGAGAAAGAAATTAATTGGCCAACTAAAATATATATAGAAAAAAATTAGCCAGGCATGGTGGCGCATGCCTGTTGTCCCAGCTACTTGGGAGGCTGAGGCAGCAGGATTGCTTGAACCCAGGAGTTTGAGATTGCTGTGAGCTAGGCTGACGACACGGCACTCACTCTAGCCTGGGCAACAAAGCGAGACTCTGTCTCAAAAAATAAATAAAATAAACCATTCGGTCACACTAAGAGTAGATATTATTATTCCCATGTGTGACTCCATTTTCATATTTATGAGACTTAATAATTATGCATTTCTTCTGCATAGTTCCTCTCTACTCCGCCCTTACGCTCAGTGTCTAATGATTGTTGTACATTGGTATGTCTTTTGTGTTGTTTTTTACCTAACTGGACAGGCATGCACTCATCCAGTTAATGTTTGCTGGGAGCCTGCCGCATGCTAGGCCGTGGGGGATACAGCAGGTGGGGCAGCATGATCTGGCTGGGATACAAACCATTAAATGAAGAATTGGGCTGGGCCTGGTGGCTCACGCTTGTAATCCCAGCACTTGGGGAGGCCTAGGCAGGAGGATCGCTTGAGTCTTGGGCAGCATAGCAAGACCCTATCTCTAAAACAAACAAACAAAGAAACCACCAGAATTGCAGATGTACTTAATGATTACAAAGGAGAAGTGAGGGATAGCAGGGAGCTGGTGACAGAGTTGGCAGGAGCTGTCCTGAGGAAGTGAGGTCATCCCCTAACCCTGTCCTCTTAAAACTCAAACCCAGACTCTTTTTTTTTTTTTTTGAGACAGAGTCTCACTCTGTTGCCTGGGCTAGACTGTCATGGTGTCAGCCTAGCTCACAGCAACCTCAAACTCCTGGGCTCAAGCAATCCTCCTACCTCAGCCTCCCGAGTAGCTGGGACTACAGGCATGTGCCACCATGCCCGGCTAATTTTTTCTATATATATTTTTAGTTGTCCAGATAATTTCTTTCTATTTTTAGTAGAGACGGGGTCTCGCTCTTGCTCAGGCTGGCCTCGAACTCCTGACCTAGAGCAATCCTCTGGCCTTGGCCTCCTAGAGTGCTAGGATTACAGGCATGAACCACCATGCCTGGCTAGCCCTTCAAGGCCCTGTCTGGCTGTCCTCTGACTGTCCCTCATTCTCAAATTACCGCTGTAAAGCTGCCCCTGCTTCCTTGCTGTGTCTTGACACACTTAGCTCTTTCCTCCCTCTGAGCCTTTGCATGCACTGTTCCCTCTGCCTGGAATAATCTCTCCCTGACTCGCTCTCTGCATGACTGTTCCTTCTTGTTTCAGCTCAAGTGTCCCTTCTTTAGGGATGGCCTCCCTGACCATGTCCCCTAATATGATACCTTCTCCTATCACGCTATCATATTTGTTTTTGTCTTCATAGCACTTAACGGTATAAAAATTTTTTTAATTTCTTGGTTTACTGTATATCTCCCCAGTGAGGCTTGAGACTCGACACCAAAGATATAGAGGGGTCTGGTCCTCCTTGTCCCTCCTTACTCCTGCCCCATGTATTAGTTTCCTATTGTTGCTGTAACAAATCACCATAATTTTTTTTTTTGCTATGGACTGTGCTAAATCACCATAAATTTATACCTTAAAACAGCACCGGATTAATACCTTCCACTTTTTGAGGTCAGAGGTCTGAAAATCAAGGTGTTGGCAGGGCTATCTTCCCTCCCAGGGCTCTAAAGGAGAATGGTTTCTCTTGCCTTTTCCAGCTTCTAGAGGGTACCCACAGCCCCTGGCACGTGGTCCCTTCCTCCACCCTCAAAGCACCTCACTCCAACCTCTGCCTCCCTTGTCACATTGCCCCCACTTCCTCCCTCTTAGAAGGACCCTTGTGATGACACTGGGCCCACCTAGATAATTGGGGACAATCTCCCTGTCTCAGGACCCTTGACTTAATCACATCTGCAAAGTCCCTTTTGCCACGTAAGGTAACATAGTCACAGATTCTGCGAATTCGGAGGTGGACATCTTTGGGAGTCTGTTATTGAGCCTGCCGCCCCTGAGGTGCCTTGTTCAGCCTTGGGTGTGGCGGGCACTCTGGCACGCTGGCCACTACCTGGGGGCCCGGCGAGCTGACCACGCCTTCCTCTGCAGGACGAGATTGAGGAGCTGAGGGCCGAGATGCTGGAGATGCGGGACGTGTACATGGAGGAGGACGTGTACCAGCTGCAGGAGCTGCGGCAGCAGCTGGACCAGGCCAGCAAGACCTGCCGCATCCTGCAGTACCGGCTGCGCAAGGCCGAGCGCCGCAGCCTCCGCGCCGCCCAGACCGGCCAGGTGGACGGCGAGCTCATCCGCGGCCTGGAGCAGGACGTCAAGGTCAGCCCCGGGGACTCCCCCGGCCCTCACAGGTGCCCTGGTTGGGAGGTGGGGACCACGAAAGAGCGGGGGCCCCCGGGCAGCCCTGTGGCTCCCTCCTCGTGTGTCTGTGGGCAAACCGCAACCCCTGTCTGGGCCTCAGTTGCCTCATCTGCTAAGCTGGGATCCCTGGTGAGCCAACAGGCCAGGGACATCCCAAAGTGACATCATCATATGAGTCCTGCTACCATACACCATACGTCTGGTGCTGTGTGTAGTCCCAGCACCATTCCTTGGAGGTTTCTTTATTCTGCTGATGGAGAGCGGTGAGGGCCTGGAGCTGGACGGCGAGGGTTCAAATCTGGGCACCGATGGGCACGAATTTTGTAATTTTCGAGCAAGTCACCTATGTTTCAGTTACTTGATGTATAGAATGGGTTTAACAGCAACCCCTACCTCACAGAGTTCTGGGAGGATTAAATGAGATAACGTAGGTGCCACCATAAACACTCAAAATGTTAGCTATTATTATTTCCATTTTCTGGATGAGGAATCTGAGGCTGAGAGGAAGGCAATACCTGACCCTCGCTCTCTGAGCCCTCTGGGGGAGGGGGGGCTCCAGGGAGAAGCCCACCCTGCCGTCTGCGGCAGCCCTGGTCTGGGGGCTGAGAACTCGAGGGCCCCCTCCCTCAGAACTGAGCCCTGTGGATCAGGGGGAAGGAGGAGCTGGGAATGCGGCCCTAACACCCGAGGGAGGAGTGGGCATGAGCCTGGAAGGGAGCTGGAGAAGGTTCTGGAAGATGGCTGCTGCCATAGGGCCCAGGGCGACCGGCAGGAGGGGAGTCTGCTACACACATACCTGGAGAGAACCCTTCCCTCCGTTATTCTAGAAGACACTGGCGAATTCTCGGCCCTACAGCCTTTCTAGTGGAATAGAAAAAGGTCTTCATTACGGGGCCAGCGGCGGGGGACAGCGGCGGGGGACGCTGTGTCAGCTCCCGTTGTCTTGAGGGAGCGCAGTGGGAGTGCAGGTCTGCCGTGCACTTGGGGAAACTGTGCCCAGAAAGGGTATGTCTCCAAGTTCGAAGCGCACCTCCCTGAGAGGGCAGCTCCGGGGATTGTTCGAATTCCAGCCCCTGGGTTGGGAGGGGACAGAGAGGGGATGGTGAGGACAGTAGCGGGGAGGTAGGGGAGAGCTGGAGCAGGTCGGACGAATCTGCGAATCTGCACTGCGGCCTAGGTAGTTGAGGATTTCTGGGAGGGACTCAAACAGGTCAGACTCCCAAGAGATGGGGACCCGCTGGGGCGGAGCAGGCTGCGGCTGAAGCGCGCCTCCGCGGGGGAGAGGTTGGGGGAGGGAAGGGGGAGGGGTGGGGCGGGCCCGCACGCTGGTGGGGGCGGAGGAGGTGGCTCTCCCGAGTTCGGGCGGAGGGGAGGGGCCCCTTCTGTTGGGATTTGAACTAGCCAATCAGCATCCTCCTCGCCCCCTTCCCTCCCTCCTCCCCATCCCTGCTGCTGGAGCGCTGAGCTCATCCTCAGGCCTGGGGCCCGAGCTGGGCGCCTCTCATTACCACCCTTTGCCCGTGTGCTGGTGATGTTCTGGGGCATTTTTGGAGGTCCTCAGAATGCCGGCTTCCCTGGCCTCGCCTGGGAGGGCTTGGTCAACCCAGGTGGGGAGGGGGCGAGAGATGCCTGGGAGGGTATCCCTGGGGCTCTTGGGACTTGCTCTGCCAGCTGCTTGGCCCATGCTCCCACTGGCCCTACCACTTGGTGCCTCGGTTTCCCCTTCTATTAAATGTGGGCTTAGACCAGCTGAATCTTCAGGGCTTTCGAGCTCCAGTGGTTTTATTTGGACAGGTGGGTTGTTGGTGAGGAGGTCATGAATGAAACCTCAGGCCTTTCCCCCTAACCCTCCAGACTCTCCCACTTTCTGCTGGTCCTTACAGTTGACAGGACCTGCAGAACCTCAGCAGGGACCTTGCCCAGCATGGAGAGGCAGGAGCAGGGGCAGAGGCGTGAGGGTTAAGCTCCTTCACATCTCTGAGCTCATTTCCCCAGGGTGGAAAACGGAGATAAAACTAATCCTTACCTCTAGACAACTGTGTGGTGATAAAATGAAATAATTCAAGCGAAGAGAGTGTTGCACACTAGGTCTGGCAGCGGGTGCTCAGCAAAGAAGCACGTTTTGGTTGTGGTTTCATTATTGCTCAGGAGACTTTACAAAGTGCAGGACAGGTGGCTGGAGGCAAGGGTAGGCCACAGTCTCAGCCTCCCAGGGTGGATGAGAATCAACTGGAGGATGTGTTCACAATGCAGATTCCCAGGCCTCTTCATGAACTGGGACTTGACAGGAGGGTGTCAGGTCCAGGGAGTCTGGGACCTAAATTCTTGTCTGAAGTGACTCTTGTAGGAGGCTGAGGACACACCAGTGACATGTTCCCTTTCTTAGATAACAGATGTTGCTGGAGTAAACATTCTGGCTTTGGGTTTAATTCCTAGGTGACCTGTGCTGGTTGCCTCCCTTCTTTGAGCCTCAGTTTCCTTATCTGTAAAATGGCTGTGATGTTCCCACCCTCCTGGGGTTCTTGGGAGGATTAAGCCACTCAGAGCCCAGAATGCTGCCTGGCCAGTGGGTATGCTTTAGTGAGAGTTCCCATCCCCCCCACCCTGAGGATCAGAGTGACAAGGACACCCTGCATCCAGAAGCCCAGGAGCTGAGGGGCCCAGTGCACGGGAGCAGAGGCCAGAGGCTGCTGCTTGCGCTGGGCAGGAGCCAGGCCCCAGCGCTGTAAACAGTGACCTCATGGCTGAGTGCATTTGTTTGTGCTTTGGGGATTTGCCCTGGTTTCCGGAAGCCGCAGCTGCCTCTCCTCCCTTAGTATCTCAGTCCCTCTACCTTGGGGGTAGCTGAGAGTATCAAATGAGACAGGCACAGTAAGCCCAGTGTTGGGGCTCATTTTTAATCCCTCATTGTTGATGTTAATGTAATGTGTCTTCAGGCTTTGAGCCTCTATAGCAGGGTCAGGTCAAGAGCAAGACTTCAGAGTTGGCCCACCTGATTTCAGGTGTTGGTTCTGCAGTTTCCTAGCTGTGTGACCTTGAGAAGTGACCTTTCCTTTTTCAGCCTCAGAATGAGGATAATAATTAAAGTGCTTTTCCGCATGTGATGAGCATTTAGGGAAGTGCTAGCTGCTTCTGTAAGTCACCTATGAGGGCTCAGGGGGGCCCAGGCCCACTGAGGCTTGGGGAGGGAAAGGGACAAGCCCCAGGCCACAAGGCTTCTGCCTCCCAGTCTGGTGTGTTGTTCCTGTTGGCCTCCATGGGGGTGCAGGGCGCTGTGTGGATCTGAGATGAAGGGCTCTTTTGTCCATATTGGAATTCTGCAAGCTGCCCAGGGTTGGGCTTTCTTGACATAGCCGTCAGGGATGGGGAGCAAATAGGGAAGGGATTCCAGGGAGAATGGGGCAGAAGGGAACTGAGTCATGACTTTTTGGTGGGGACCAGGTTGCCTCCCCAGGTGGAGGTCATGGTGGAGATGGGACATCTGCCCCAGGAGGAAAGGAGCTGGCCCAGATGGGAGAGGAGCCCTTGCCTCCAGCAGCCTCCTTCCTCACCCCTGCCAGGGACACAGCCCTCCCTGCACAGTGGCTGGGGAGCGTCCCCAGTCCCGCTAGGGCAGGTGCATCTCCACAGATATATTCAGTCATTCACTCCTTCATCTCCCTCCCTTTTCACTTATTGGACCCTTGGATTTGTTCGTTTATCCACCAAGCACTTATTAGCCACTTAATGTGTGCCAGACTCTGTGCTCCTGCTGGGCCACGTAGATGTCCACGAGCCCAGCTGTGGTCTGTGGCCTTGATCTCTGGACCCCACCTCTGCTGCCCCAGTGCCTAAGTGGGATGAATGCGTGAATGAGTATCGTGTTGATCAGGGCAGGGGCTTACTGGGTGACCTCATGGCACCAATCTAGGGACCATAGCCAAAAGCCAAAGGCTGAACAGATCCAGCAAAAGCCCCGCGATTGGGCCAACATGGATAAAATCAGTGCACATAGGCAAAGCAGTTGTCTTGACAATGCAGTAAAAATTGTTGAATATTTGAGTACCTACTATGTTCTAGCCACCAGCCCAAGCATTATGTCATTTATTCCTCAGAACGGCCCTTGTGAGTAGGTTATATGAACCCCCTTTATTGCTGATCATATTGAGACTTCGAAGGGTTAAATAGCTCATCCTGGGTCACAGAGCCAGCAAGTGCTGGAACCAGGCTTAGATCTAGTTTTCTCATCTGCAAAGCCCTTGTTCTGATATTGAGGCACTGCTCACCCCACTTTATGGATGAAAGGAGTCTAGTGGCCTAAAGGGGCTACAGGAAGAGCCTCATGGGCTAGTCCCTGGCTGTCCTTGGAGATCTTCAGAGGCTCTTCTGGAGGGGGAGGCAGTGCCCAGTTTCCTTCTGGTCGTTGTTTTTCCTGTCCTGCCTTGCACACTGCCAAGGGGTCCGTGCCGAGCTGGGCTTGAGCCCAGGCGGAGGACAGAGCCAGGGAGGGCCCTCTTCCCTTCCGGCAGGGAGGAGGCGCCGTGGTCATTTCCGAGACCAGCAGGCACGGGGGCGCTGGGCTGTCTGCCCCGCACGGGGTTCCTGCTGGCAAAGTTCTCACACCCCTGGAGGAGCCTCGGCCCCTCAGCTGAACCCCTGGGGTTCCCAGCCCAGGTTGTTCCTCCACACTGGCTTTGAGTGACTTTAGCAAGTCAGGTCTGCTCTGAGCTCCACTTTCCTTGTCAGTACGATGGGCACACGATTAGGGTGAGGATGAACGAGCCTGGCACACAGTAGGTACTCACCAAATGGCAGTGCCCAGCCCACGCAGGGATGGAGTCTGGTTGCAATTTCGCAGCTCAGAAGGGCCATCCTTCCTTGTCACCCCACTGTCCTGGCCCCTACACCCAGCCAGCAGGGGACAGGACAGAGTGTGTGCTGCAGGAAACGCGGTGCTGTTGCTGTGGAGTCCCGGAACCAGGATGGGCGATCGCAGCTCCATTGGCTTCTTTCTGTAGGGATGACTTGGATCCCTGCCCGGCCTTTGTCATTTCGGGCATGTTCTATATCCCAGACAATTGGAAATGGATCTCAGGGTCACATCGTGACCTCCAGCCACTCATGCGCAGGCCCTGGGCCAAGACTTTTTGTGCAGCAGCTGGTTCAGTCCTTCTGTTGGGCCTGTGAAGTTGGCCCTGTCAGTATCGTTATTATTATTGTACCCATTTTAGAGTTAATGAGACTGAGACAGCGGGGAAATGACCTGCCCAGGATCACATGCTGGTCACTGGCAGATATGGGATTCGGTGGCACCAGGGCAGCCCGTCTTGTGCTGGGTTTCTACTCCAGCTCACTCCCCTCTCTTTAAGATGAGTATCTGGCCCTGCCGTAGGCTCCTGTGAGGACCGGGCGAGAGGGTGGCTGGGAAAGAGGCTTTTGGAAGCACCAGAAGCCCCAGGTGAATGAAGGCTTTCCTGAGAGCAGGTAGGGCCTTCACCACTTGCTGGGGCTGTGCTGTGATGTAGGCGCTGGGAGCGTACGGTCCCTGGGTTTGGGGCTTGGTTCTACTGCTTCCTGGCTGCGTGACTCTTGGTGAGTTTCTTGGCCTCTTGGTGCCTCGGTTTGCACATCTGTTAGGTGGGGTGATAAGCTAAGACTCTGCCTGCCTCTGGGGTGCTCTGTGGCTAGTCAGCGGGCCTCGCAGTGGGGGCGCTGCCGTCCTCGGCCTGCTCACAGCCTTCTCACCCCCGCCACGCCCAGGTCTCCAAGGACATCTCCATGCGCCTGCACAAGGAGCTCGAGGTGGTGGAGAAGAAACGAGCGCGGCTGGAGGAGGAGAACGAGGAGCTGCGGCAGCGGCTCATCGAGACTGAGCTGGCCAAGCAGGTGCTGCAGACGGAGCTGGAGCGGCCGAGAGAGGTGAGCGCTCCGTCCACCCAGGCAGGGCCGGCCTGAGTGGCAGGCACGCGCAGCCCCACCCAGCCAGTGTCTCTCCGAACCCCTGCCTGCTTGTGGGAAATGGGCAGGTTATGCCTCCCTGGCAGGGTTGTTTGTTGATTCCTTCCTCCAGCATGCATTTCTGAGCACCTACTGTGTACGTTCTGTGTTGGACACCAAGGATGCAGTGGTGAACGAAGTACACCCAGGTCCTGTCCTCAAGAAGCTCACAGGCCATCAGAGAACCACAGCTGCTGGGAGGTTACCTGAGAAAACATGCAGCAGTGTCCAGCATGGGACCCGGCCCTCTGCACCTCAGTTTCCTTATCTATAAAATGGGGCAGTAGTGCCCTGAGTCATTGTGAGCACTAACTGGGAAAACTCGTGTGGAGAAGGTGTAGGGAATGCCAAGTGCTGCCATTTGGTATGAAGTCGGTACTGTACTGAGCTGGGTCTCGGGCCAGTGTCCCTGGGGTGCTAGATGCTTCCTGAATGTGACCCCCAGGCACTGTCCTCTCCCTCTTTGCTCATGTCAGTTCCTCTTCCTGGCATACCTTCTTCTCCTTCTGCTGTGTGTTAGGTGTGCAGTGTGTTAGGCACAATATTCAATAGCAATCATACCCATTTTATGGATGAACAAACAGTCCCTGAAGGAGGCAGGGAGGGATGTCCTTAGGGTTGTGCAGGGCCCAGTGGACTCTGCAGAATGCTGCTTGGAAACCATCGGTCTAGGTGACCCTTAAAGGCTAGAATCCTCCTGATTCCAGTTTCTGGCTGCTTATAAGATGTCCTAGGATCGTGCATTCTTCCAGGGCACACGCCTTGCTGCAGGCTCTGCCTGCCCACTGCCCCAGTGTTCCAGGACTGAGATGCCACAGCCCAAGGCCAGAGCCGTCCTTCAGCTGTCCTTCCTGCCGGGCATGTTGGAGTGACGTGCCAACACCTCCTCAGCGTGGAGAGGAGGCATTTGCTGCTAAGGGCTGCTGCAGAGCCTCGCCCTGCTTCAGGGCTGGGTGGCAGGCAGGTCCCTCTCTTCATGCTGCCTCCTGGCCACCATGGGCTGGCCTGTAACACAGGGCACCACCTTCACACCATCTTGTTGCTGCCACCTTGGTGGTGAAAAGGGGAGACAATTTCAGAAAGCACCTTAGCAGTCAGACTATTTGTGCAAATGAGGAAACCGAGGCCCAGAGAGGAAGAACTTGCCTGAGTTCACCCAGCCTTTCTTTAGCAGAGGTGTGGCTAAAACCCTGAAGCCACTTCCCCCCTCTAAATCTCAGTTTCTCCATCTGTGACATCAGGATAATAATTGTACCTAGCCTAAGGGGTTGCCTATAAGTTTGTTTAGGATCATTAATAAGATTTTGTCACCATAGGAGACTATGAAGAATTAAAAAAAAATAAGGTCATATGGCAGTTCCTCAAAAAATCAAGCAGAATCACAATGTGATCCAGCAGTTCCACTCCTGGGCATATACCCAGCAGAACTAAAAGCAAGGACTCGAAGAGATATTTGTACACCATGTTCACAGCAGCATTATTTATAATAGCCAAAAGGTACAAGCAACCCAAATGTTCATCAATGGATGAATGGATAAACAAAGTGTGGTATGTACATATAATGGAGTATCACTCAACCTTAGGAAGAAATGAAGTACTGACACGTGCTACAACATAGATGAGCCTTGAAAACATGCTAAGGGAGAGAAGCCAGGCTCCAAAGGATGATTATTGTATAATTCCACGTAAATGAGATACCTAGGATAGTCAAATTCATAGAGACAGATAATAGAATAAAGGTTGCCAGGAACCAGAGGAGAATGAGGAATTATTGTTTAATGGGGACAGAGTTTCAATTTGGGATGATGAAACGTTTCTAGAGATGGATAATGGTTATGGTTGTATAACAGTGTCAGTGTACTTAATGCCACTGAACTGTACACTTAAAAATGGTTAAAATGGTAAATTTTATATTGTGTATACTTTACTACATTAAAAAAAAAGAAGGGGCCAGGCAGTCTGGGAGGCTGAGGTGGGTGGATCACTCAAGGTCAGGAGTTCAAAACCAGCCTGACCAAGAGCGAGACCCTGTCTCTACTAAACATAGAAAGACATTAATTGGCCAACTAAAAATATATATAGAAAAAATTAGCCGGTCGTGGTGGCGCATGCCTGTACTCCCAGCTACTTGGGAGGCTAAAGCAGAAGGATTGCTTGAGCCCAGGAGTTTGAGGTTGCTGTGAGCTAGGCTGATGCCACGGCACTCTAGCCTGGGCAACAAAGTGAGACTCTGTCTCAAAAAAAAAAGAAGGTCGGTATGTATGTACTGATATGGAAAAAATCTCCACCATTCATTTTTTTTTTTTTTTTTTTTTTTTTTTTTTTTGAGACAGAGTCTCGCTTTGTTGCCCAGGCTAGAGTGAGTGCCGTGGCGTCAGCCTAGCTCACAGCAACCTCAAACTCCTGGGCTCAAGCAATCCTTCTGCCTCAGCCTCCCGGGAAGCTGGGACTACAGGCATGCGCCACCATGCCCGGCTAATTTTTTATATATATATCAGTTGGCCAATTAATTTCTTTCTATTTATAGTAGAGACGGCTCAGGCTGGTTTTGAACTCCTGACCTTGAGCAATCCGCCCGCCTCGGCCTCCCAAGAGCTAGGATTACAGGCGTGAGCCACAGCGCCCGGCCTACATTTTTTTTTTATAGGCTTGAGCCACTGCGCCCGGCCTCCACCCTACATTATTAAGTGGGAAAAGAAAGTTGTGGAACTGTGCATACTGTGTGATCTCACTAAGTATTTTGAAAAGCCGTACAAATCAGACTGGATTTGAAGCACCTGTGTATGTGTGTAAATGTGTAGCAGTACTCTAGCCTGGGCAACAAAGCGAGACTCTGTCTTAAAAAAAAAAAAAAAAAGAATGTATTTGGGCATTATTTGTGAAGTTTTAAATGCAGTCACGCTTGTGAAGGGCACTCTATGGTGCCTGGCACAGAGCAGGTGCTCGAGAAACGCTGGTTCACTTCCCCTCTGAGGCTGGTGTCAGCCAGGCAGGTCCAGCCCTGTGCGTGCCCTGTGGTGTCTCAGGATCGTATGCAGGAGGCGGGATCCTGTGTTTATTTGCTGTGTGTCGTCTCCCTCCCTCTCCTTCCTGACATGGTTTCTATGGAGACATGGGTCCCTTAGCAATTCTTCTGCCAGAGCTGCAGTCCTGTCATCAAGATCTGCCTTTGCCATCCTGACAAGTTGCTGAGGCGATGCTGTCACCCGGCTGGGAACAGGAGCCCCTGGCCTGAGCTGATGTGGTTGCCATGGAGACAGCTCTCTGCTAGAGAGAAGGGAGGTGGCAGGCCCCAGCCGAGAGCGCTGCGGTGGCACTGTTGCCCAGCTGGGCTGCAGCTCAAGAATCGTAACACCAGCCACCCTCTTGTCTGGTATCGTTCCCCCTCCTTGTAATTTAGGCAGAAAGCCAACATCAGTGTTGACGTGATTTATTATAATATAGCTGGTGTGTCTGAGCGCTTACTCTGTACCAGGCACCACACCAGCATTGTACACACGTTGTCACGCTATTTAACCCTCCCAACAGCTCCCCACATACGTAGGGTCCTTATCCGCATTTTATAGGTGCCACTCTTTCCTTGGCCATTTTTTAATTGCAATTTAATTCACGTACCATACGGCTCACCATTTTAAAGTGTGTAATTCCATGATTTTTAGTATGCTTATGATGTTGTGCAAACCATCACCATTATCTAGTTCCAGAACATTTCCGTTGCCTTGGAAGGTAACCCCATACCTTTTAGCAGTCACTCCCACTGCCCCTTCCCTCCAGTCCCTGGAAACGACTCATCCACTTTGTTTTTTTTTTTTTGGAGACAGAGTCTCACTTTGTTGCCCAGGCTAGAGTGAGTGCCGTGGTGTCAGCCTAGCTCACAGCAACCTCAAACTCCTGGGCTCAAGCGATCCTTCTGCCTCAGCCTCCCGAGTAGCTGGGACTACAGGCATGCGCCACTATGCCCGGCTAAGTTTTTGTATATATATTAGTTGGCCAATTAATATCTTTCTATTTATAGTAGAGACAGGGGTCTCGCTCTTGCTCAGGCTGGTTTCGAACTCCTGACCTCGAGCTATCCGTCCGCCTCAGCCTCCCAGAGTGTTAGGATTACAGGCTTGAGCCACTGCGCCCGGCCCTCATCCACTTTCTGTCTCTATGGATTCGCCTGTTCTGGACATTTCATTCAAATGGAATCATGTGATATGTGATCTTCGATGACTGGCTTCTTTTACTTAGCAAGAGGTTTTCAAGGTTTATCCATCCATGTTGAAGAATGTATCGGGTCTTCACTCCTCTTTATGGCTGGATAGTAATCCATTGTACAGATATACCTCCTTATATTGGGCCCTTCATCAGTTGATGGACATTTGGGTTGTTTCCACCTTTTGGCTATTATGAATAATGCCGCTGTGAACATTCACATACAGGTTTCTGCGATTGCGTGTTCTCTGTTCTCTTGGGTGTGGACCAAGGAGTGGGATTGCTGGATGTAGATGGGACTGGAGAAGGACAAAGATGGGATTCAAACCCAGGACTCTGTGTCTCCCAAACCCACGCTGACTCTTGTGGTGATGTCCTTGCCCTCCTGGCCCCACCCAGGGGCTTTCCTAGGACGCCGTTGTGTTTCCAGAACCTTCGATGAGGCTGTCCACTGCACGAACACTGCCCTTCCTGCACAGCCTTCTCTTACAGGTGTTCCATCAGGAAAGGTCACCGGCCATGGTGTCAGACAGCTGTGTTCAAATCCCGGTTCTGCCGTTGCCACTTATTTGCAAATATCTATCACCTTGGGCAAATCACATAACTGTTCTAGCCCTCAGTTTGATTATTTATAAAAGGGGATTATTTAACCCTTCTTCTCAGAAGTGTTTGTGAGAATTAAAGAAGACAAGCAGGTAAAGTGCTTAGCATAGAACGATGGCTTC